ACAACAATTATTACGCATATGAAAAAAAACGCACGCGAAAAATTTGACAACGCACCGCAATGACGTGACGAGTCAAAATGGCCGACTTTGTTGAGTGCAATCGAATTGTTGTTTTAAATGACCGCTAGATGTTGCTTGAGGCAATTCTCGGGCTAAATTTTGTAATGATTATGAAGTTGTCCCGAGGTACATGGAGTCTCAAGGTATAAGGATCTCCTCTACGTATGTTGAGCCAAACATAGTGGCCAAATTTGTAGCTACTTTCTTGCAATTTCCATGTTTGGCCCAAAATTCTTCAGTGAATACCGTTTTATACATTTGTAAGGACACATCTTCTTGCAAATCAATTATCTCTATTTGAAGTGATGGCTTTGATAGATTCAACAACTTGGCATCCACATCTGTTCATTCTGCCGCAACATCAACTAATTCGCACAAGCCCACACACGCCCAGGCTAGATAGGAAACTAATTAATTAATATTAGTTCTAGGTACTTGTAAAACAACAGGTTAACTAGGCACCTTATTAAAATAAAATGAGTACTAAGTTAAATTATATATGACTCAAAAATATTATTTTAATTGATAAAGGACTAGTATACCTTATTTACGTATTAATTTATACTTGGTATACAATACATTACAATATTTGGCGGTCAGAGGTTCGACCTTTCGCGGTCCGCCTGTTGCTGACCGTTGCTGTAGACTATAGACTATAGAGCATACATGTTTCAAGTTTGAAGTTACCTTTTCATCACTGTTTCTCCATACCGGTTTATTTTCGGAGGCTGAAATTTCGTATGTAGGTTCGTTCCATACTGTAGATGTGCCATAAAAAAAAGATTTTCAAATATTCCAACAGGGGCACCAGCCGCGAGGAAAAAGGCGCGTCCATAAAACAAAATTATCTTTTCATTACTGTTTCTCCATGACCTTAAATTTCCGATAGGTGAATTTATATTTGATATTAGCATTGCACCAGTGCGGAGCCGGGGCGGTTCGCTAGTAAATCTACATACCTTTAGCCTCTGGTATCTATAAAATGGCGGTCGGCCCAAACTAGCAGGTATGTATAGGTTTATATTGCATACTGACAATTTTTTTTTGGTACATTGGGAGCTGTCTGACTTGTCCATTTAGTCCAAGTCTCCAGAAAACACTGCAGCCTCTTGGGCTTATTGGGTTTATTCTCCCATCTTCTCATGTCACCCATTCCATCAGTCTCGTTCCCTGTACTAGTTTGTACAGGTTCCGTGTTGGATATTCGTCATATTCTTCTGGACGTAATTTCGTGCTTCCATATATTGCCTGCCTCCTGTGATTCAGTGCCTCACATTCGCACAAGATGTGTAGAGCTGTTTCTATCCCTTCGTTGCGTAATCTGCAGCTGAAGTGTCCGTTGTACAGCCCCATTTTATTCAGGTGTCCTCTAAGTGGACAATGACCGGTTAGTAACCCTGTAATTATTCTGAGCCGATCCCTACTATACTGAAGTAGTTCTTCGGTTCTTTTCTCGGTCGGTTTCCTAATGAAGGTTCTACTGTGTTTGTTGCCAGGTACTTTTGTCCAGTACTCTGTGTGCTTCTTATTGGTCCATGTCCTAATCTGGTTTCCTACCAATGATTTTGGTACCCCCAGAGCTGGATCAGGACCTATATATGAAGTTGATGATCCGCGTCTAGCGCATTCATCAGCTTTATCATTACCTGTGATTCCTGAATGCCCTGGCACCTAGTACAAAGTTAATTTGTTCCTGATTGCAAGTTCATTCAGTTCTTCATGGCATTCCCAGACCAGTTTTGATGTCACCTTCAGGTTTGTCAGAGCCCCTAGTGCGCTCTTGCAGTCTGTAAAAATATTGATCCGCTCATTTCTTTGAGGTTTCAATTCAATAAGCCTTGCACACTGCAAGATAGCATACACTTCCGCCTGAAAGACGGATGTGTATACTCCTAGCGAATAGCTGTAATTTAGATTTCTATCCGCTCGGTATATTCCAGCTCCCGTTCCATGTTTGGTCTTCGATCCATCTGTATACCAGGTGTTTTTTCCAAACATGTTTTCGGGATGACTAATGGTNCCCATAATTTTTAACGAATACTTTTTGCACTAGTCCCGTTTATTTGACTGTATCAACAATTGAAAAGACAAATAGATTATGTATATATTATCTTGGGTGTTCTGATAAAGTTGTTTGAAACGGATTTAAATATAAATATATTACCTATTCAATTTCAAAACAAATATAAATTAAAAAAAATAACATTCTATAAGCATTCGGCTTTTGAATTCTACTATAGGATGCTTAGAAAAATAGACTTGAATTGAAACGTTATTCTTATTCAAATATGGAGTCTAGTATCGTGAAAAGTGTCGAAGTCAAACTTTTGCCAGAAAAGACAGAAGAAATCCACATAAAAGCATTCAAAAGAAGATGGTTCATATTACTGGTATATATGTATTATTCATGTTTTGCGTCTCTGGGATGGATTGAATATAGTATTATAACCAATATTGTAGTAAAATACTACAATGTCAGCACATTAGCGGTTGACTGGACTTCAATCGTTTACATGACTACCTTCTCACTTCTTATCATTCCAGCTTCCTTGGTTATGGAGAAACAGGTAACTTATCGATCAATTATCTAAAAAAAACTTCACACGGTAATGTAACTAACGAATAAAATTATACTGCAACAAGTGAAAGATTTGTGATAGCTAACTATTTTAACGTGAAGGTTATCTAGAATCTTTATAAACATAGCACTCAGAAACGAGTTAACCATAAACACGTGTTACGGGCTACTTGGTCCTCATCAGTATGGTGTAGCCAAGAACAAGGGCGGGAAAAACTTGGTTGCAAAAAAGTACCTACACGCACAACAATGGTTCTGGTTACGAATACTACTTGTGTTTAGACAAATATGGCTGAAATTGCCAAGGAGACAACTATAGCTGCTAGGCTAAATATCGAGTTCTGGGAATCAACCAAATACGAAGGTTAACGGGTGTTTTGATATGTGCTATGTCCGATATACCTTTTTCTTGTATTTATATCAAGAACCTATGGTTTGCTTCCATACGAGTGCTATGACCCATAAAACTTTCCTTCAGACTTACATGGAAACACTCAATAATCTCAAAATCTACAACTCTCCATTATTTTCAGGGATTACGAACTACTGGTCTTATTGGTTGCATAGGAACTTTCATAGGAACAAGCATTAAAGTATTTTCAATCAGACACGACCTATTTTGGATAGTTCTTCTTGGCCAAATAATAATGTCAATCGCGCAAGTTTTCATTGTTGTTCTTCCCCCAAAACTCGCATCAGTGTGGTTTAAATCAAGTGAGGTGAGTAGTTTTCAGTCTTCTCCTTACGAACGTGTCTAGAAACGTAGATCATATTCGAAGCTAATAATAGTTCTCTCTCTCGGAAACGGTAGACACTTGTAGGTTTCCTATTTTGGGAAAAGTTTCCTTTTTTTCTCAAAAAATAGTCACTCCTAAAAATATAACCCTTTGAATATAAACTAAAATAATCTCTTTTTAAATCGAGAATATCAATGATCGATTTTGAAATATTCGCCAAAAACTAGAATTGTCGAATCTTGATTTTTGGCTCTACTGCCTCCAATTCGAATGATATTAAAAAAGGCACAGGAACTTTCAATACTGTTTCACATGTGTTATGATCTTTGATGACTGTCATCGGAGATTACTCAAGATGCATGGACCTCTGAAGAAGCTAGCCACTCGCACTAGCGAAACGTCAGGAAAAAAACAAAAATCGACTGATTCTGAACCCGAAAAATAGTGGCACCGAAAACCTCGGCCACGAAAATCTTAACTGTTTTGCCAACATGTAATATACCAAGGAACAAACAGAAAAAAAATGTCGTTCGTTGAACACATATTCGCTTTTGCAATTTTCCAGCATTTGTTGAGTTATATCCATGCAAGCCCTCTTTATTGTATCTGCCAATTCATAAATATTGCCGAAAGTTAGGGCAAATACCTTGTCTTTGATGAAGCCACACAATGAAAAGTCCAGAAGAGTGAGGCCAGGTGAACGTGGTGGCCATTTGATAGGACCATTGTTTCCTATCCATCGTCCTGGCAAAGTATTGAGAATATCTCTTCAAATGGTTCTGCAATGTGGCGGAGCTCCATCATGTTGGAAATACTAATATTTTCTCGGAATATTAAAAGGCAAATCTTTCAACAACTCAACTAGAGTTTTGGAAAGGAATTCCAAATATAATTCCCTATCATGATATCTCTCTTTTTGAGAATATACAAATGTTGATGATATTTATCGGAGATAAACGTCGGGAAACACATTTATTATAATACAGAGCTGAATTTGTAATTACAGTGCTACAAAAATCGATGGAAAAACTAGAGGTCTATATTTGAAAAAACAAAGTTGATGCTGAAATCTAATGAACAAAACATAATTCGACAATTGCAGTTTTTGACGAATATTTTTAAAACAATCATTGACATTCTCGATCTGAATTCAATATTCTGGTTCCCCAAAATAGGAAACTTTTGTCCTATTTCACCGACCTTGTAGGTCTTACCGTTTCTGAGATAGCAATAGTGGTATCATCTAAGAAAACGGTCTATAGGTATGTATATCTATGATTCAACGCCATCATTATTATTCATTAAAAACAACTTTAACGAGTTGGTATCAGAGTTATCCAATATACGACTGCTGTTATACCAATTATTATATGAAGAATTATAGCAAAAAGCCACGCAAAACTGATTTTTTATATAACTATCGTACTAATTGTTTGAACAATAAAATAAAGTCCCCACTTTATAAGGTTTCTGATTTCAGGACCCCATAGGAGAATCCTTCGTTGAGGATTATTATGTGGCAGCAAGCGAAAACGATACACGAAAACAGTGAATAAACGATACACTATAATCCAAAACATTGCAAGATAATTATTAGCAATGCAAATACAATTTATAGATATACGATGTGTCTATATTGTTACGTTTTGCCCCGTGGGTTGACCAATAATTGACTACACTGAATACTCAAACTTGACTTTATTTCACTTTAATACAACAAACACTTCAACAAAAACTTCAACTTTCATTTGAATGTTTATCGCCTTACTAGACCACTTCCACTTGACTCTGTTGATATGCTCGCGGGTGGCATTTATATATCGTAAGCGAATGCGCTAGAAAATTTCGCCGAAATTCCGTCGAAATCGGTAGCATTATTCTCGCTGCTTCTAGAGCGGCAGGAAACATTGTGCATCTGTATCTGTAGAGTAGGGAGGGTGAGTGTAAGCCCACAGCACTTAGGCCACATGTGACCCATTGTACACCCTCCCGAGGAGTTGTCCTCCTAGGTCATCGTTCATCCTGTCCTTTCCAGGAAGGATGGACGATGACCCAGGTGACGATGACCCACGATGTCTCCCAAGTACCAGGAAGGTCACTCCCAGGTCACTGGGAGACATCTCCTTTATATCGGCAGGTGTAGGCCAAGACTCGCCGAACACACACTCTTTTATTGATGATAACTCCAGGCACTCGCATAGGACATGCCTGACAGTCGCATTTTCCTGTTCACACATCCTGCATAGAGGTGTGTCACTAGCCCCATATTATGGAGGTGTTTCCTTAGTTGACAATGGCCAGTCAGAAATCCTATTGTTAAGCGTAGATTTTTCCTGGTCATCGCCAGATATTTCTTCGGCGCCAGCTTCACAGGGTCGCCCAAGGTGATTCTGGCAAGATTGCATCCTTTGATTTCATCCCATCTCTTTAGGGATTGAGCATGGGTGTAACATTTGGCTAGTTCAGCAATTGTCGAAGTCATCAGGCCGTAGGTGCCACTGGGTCCTAAAATTCTAAGTCCAGCCGCTTCCTTGATTAAAGAAATGGCAATACGATTACCTTTACTCTTGTCGTGCCCTTTAACCCACCCCAGGCTTTGACTAAATCTTGGTGATACTCTAGTACTAGCCCGAGGTTACACGTTGTCTGTTCAAGACTAATAGGGATTGTCTGCTCTCAGTGCAGATTGTTATATTTTTGCCAGAAATTCCTTTCCTGGTTATTTCTTTTGTGGCGATTAAGATACCAGCCAGTTCTTTTTGAACCACGCTGGTATTTATCCCATTCCCCACTTAATCCTTAGGCTTAGTGATCTGGAGTACACTCCACATCCTGAGCCTTCTTTGGTTTTTGAGCCGTCTGTATATATGCGTATTGCATTTGAAGCATCTGATTCTGGGTTCTGTTTTATTTGTATTTTGTACGGTTTATTAAACACAATTGCATCACTGGTTGCCTGTAGCCTCAATTGACCCATTCCTACTTCGAGGTTTACACCAGCCGTGCGCAATCGTACCATGGCCATTAACGCAACCTCCTCCAGATATGTGAGACCCGTAATTAATTCCATTACCGCATTTGGTGTTGTTATCATGGCTCCTGTGATGTTTAAACAATTTTTGGATGTCCGTTGCTTGTAGAACTTTCGGTCCCCATGCAATGGCTCCGTACGTTAATATAGGTCTCATTATTGCAGTGTAGATCCAGGTGACCACACGGGGTGAAGGACCCCATGCGCGTCTTACTGTCCTCCGACATTGCTCATAAGCCACATATGCTCTTTTTGCTCTATATTGTGCATTCGTTTTCTCTTAGCTACGCCATGTTTGGTGTATGGTTACCAGTGGCGGCTGGCATTATTTTCATTTTGGCATGATTTACAACAATATATTGAACTGGTTTGACTCAAACAAAAAATATATTATTTATCATTATTTCACTTTTCACTTATTATTTGTTATCATTACTTCACTCAAGGTTGATTTTCAGATATCTACTGCATGTGCTTTGGGCTTGTTTGGGGGAATCTCTGGAAATGCTTTAGGATATATTTTACCAACAATGGTTGTTCATGACAGTGAAAATATGGAGGATATAGCATCGGGTTTGAAACGATTGTGTTGGATACTCACAGTATTGATGGTTCCTGTTACGATTGTTGTTATATTTTGTAAGTTTCAGTCCCTACTCCATATACTCATGCTTGGTTGATGCCCTATAGGTTTCTAAAAACACGTCCATGGAATGTGTTGGAACAACAGACCACTTGGTTCCCTATGCAATGTATACTAGAAGTATACAGCAAACAACATTTTCCCACCCCTTTAATGTTCAACTCAATACACCTCGGAAAATGTTTCAAAGCTCTCTGGTTTCGAGAAATGTATCATAGTAGAGATTCTGATTTCCCAAACGAATGTAATCTATCACGAATACAAATTTAAGCATGATCTTGAAGTGCTTTCCCTAATAAGTATTTTCAAATTATCAGTTCGTATACTTTGCGCAAAGACAAACTTACTTCTTACTATTAGAAAACATCAATTTTATAAAAAAAAATGAGATGAACAATTTCAACCTTTGAAGTATGGATATTTTCAGATTTTCCTGAACAACCTCCTCTTCCACCAAGTGCAACTGAAGCTAGTAAACGAAGGGAACAGGAAAAACTCGATTCGATCGATTTCTCTCATTCCATGAAGAGTATGTTACGAAATAAAGGATTCTTGATCCACATGTTGGCATTTAGTATGAATATGGGCGTTTCTACAGCAGTAGGCACACTGCTGAATCAGTTTATTCTTCAATATTTTGAGGTAACAAGCTAGAAGATAATTCGAAAAACGAAAATAGAAACGATGGAACACATAAAAATATAAGTTTGTTCACAAATATAGAAATGTAGGTTTTCACGGCTGGCGTTAAAGTTTTGGTTGGTTTCCAGGTTTTGCCGTGGTCTTCTTTGGTTATAATCTCCAAACGTTTCAACTGCGACTGCGACAATTCAGTGGCGTGGTCAAAGTTGACATGTCAAGAAGAGTACTTCAACCACGCCACTGAAGATGACTGCCGCAGTTGTAGTTGCAACGTTTGAAGAGTATGACGAAAGAAGACCACAGCAAAACCCGAAAACCAGTCAAAACATTGTTCACAAATATTCAGTCTTCTAAAAATAATATTATTGTCGTCCTCATGTTTATTATAGTAGAAGTAAACGATATTGTGCACATTTAAAGTTGGCGACACTCTCAAAGACCAAAAAAACAATACATAGAAATGAATCGGCAGTGAACTAGTCCACTGTAGACTTGGCGGTTCGTATTAGATAATTAGAATTAACCGAGTTTTATGAATGACTGAAGAGTCATAAAATTAAATCTGAAGTTATGTTACGGTGACGAATAGAAATCGGGGAATGCGGGGATGGTTATCGTCGTCGTGTTCAGTTCAGGAACTGATCGCGATTTGAATGTTGAAATTCGATATTGGAGCAGTTATAATTACTTGAAATTTTTGTTATCTGTTCAAAATGTGTCGTCCTTGGACAAGTACTAATAGCAATAACGAGTGTGATAACAATACAGACTTTTTTTAGTGTAGTGATTCCAATAGCGACGGTGAACAATGCGAAAAAGGGATATCAGATTTGACTGAAATTCCTTTCTGAACTGTACATGAAATAGAAACACACCTTATGAACGCAAGACACGATTTGATGCGGGATTACCAAAACCTTTAGATGTTCATCTAATAAAATCATTGAAAAAAACAATATACGACTGTTACAAAAGCAATGAGATTCCTACAACTGAAATCATAATGATGAAATTGAATACTCCCGGCCATCACGTGAGCTGCTGTGACAAAACTATTCAGAATTGGATGAAGAAACTAAGATTTAGATTTAAAATAATAAACAAACGTCAAGCAGTTATGGAAAACAGAAGAATAGTGGAATTGCGTAACAAATACTTAGAACAAATAACTAAATATAGGCAAGAATAGCGGCAAATTTTTTATTTGGACGAAACTTGGTATGACACTCACGATACGGTTACGAAAGGGTAGACTGATGGTTCGAGAATGTGTACGCCTAACAGGCTTGCAAACAAAGGATCGCGACTAATCATTGTGCACTGTGGAGGAAGTAAAGGATGCGATCCGAATTCTTTGAAACCATGTGGAAAAAACTTGAGGACTGCACTGTTGACTATCATAAGAACATGGAAGCTAATATTTTCGAGGAATGGTTTAGAAATACATTGATCCCAAATTTGGATGCGGATAGTGTAATAGTTCTTGACAACGCTTCCTATCATTAGCGACAGCTCATCAAAGTACCGAATAAAAATTCTAGGAAAGATGAAAAAAAATAATTTCAATGGATAACAGAGCAGAGCAGAGCAGGATAAGTCCACAATTGATGAGTTGTTGATTTTTATTGCTTTTGAAAAATGATGTCACGTTCTGTACTACATACATTAATAGACAAAATGTCAAACAACAACCTGCAGACCACGATGAACAATTCCGGAAAATAGCTTCAACAGTTGAGGTTGTGAAATTTTATACTGTTTGATATCATGTTCACTGGATTTATATAGATTTAATTAGAATATTCAATAAAGTCAATCAAAAATCATCACTTTACAAGTTTCGAGGAAGATATTTTGTAATGACTAAACATGTTTCTGAGTGATAGGATCCAATTGGTCAAAATGAAAAACTATGTGTTATATAAGGTACCATAAGGTAATCACCGTGATCCATTATCATTTAACATTTTTATTGCCGATCTTATTTAAGTAACGATACGAAAGGGTTATTGTTCGCTAACAATTTTCCCTGGGAATGTTTGAATTTTCAAAATGATTTGATCTGTAAACCGTCAGGTGCTTTGAGCTAAATTGAGACAAGTTTGTCGTTATGAGCTGTAATGATTTTCGATTTCGTAAGCCACTGGTGTCACATAACATAAATGAAAACTGTCCAAAATTGTTGAGATCGGTACATGACAATATTTTTGAATGCCTTCGGAAGTTTGGAAACAGTAAATTTTGTCATGAGAAGATGGTGAACAGTAATGAAGGTCCTATTTTAACAGTTCATTGTCCATTTTCAGCTGAATCACTCTTGAAAAATTAGAAATTCATTATAATTCCTCATATGGAATTATATTATGAATGAGGGTGAACGGAATGAAACCTTCGCTTTTGATTGATCTCTTTCGCTTACTTCGATGCTCATGAGTGGCTTCTTTAAAAAAATTGGATCGTAAGAGATGCTGAATTGATTGAGGAAGAAAAAACAAAGGTTTCAACTATCTTTCGTTTATTAATTAGTCATTATTTCAGTTCTGTCTTTACTTTTCATTGCTATGGTACAGATACTCGATCAACTTTTATCAGATCTTTCGAAAGGGTCTTGAACAGGCTTCGAACAGGTCTTGAACAGGTCCCCAAATCGTTCACAGCATCACGATAGAATGAACTTGAATGGATCGTAAATGACCAGAAAGAACCTTCGTGAGGAAAAACATAGGATTTGGTCCCCTAACTCTTCTAGCCCGTCTACTTATTCTACCTAAATATGGCGTACTTGACCATGTAACATCTTCCACTGAAACAACTGTAATCGTTTTACACTTTTGGACTCAATTCCTGTCAATATATCTGCTTATGATTGATGCTGCATCCTAACTATAATCTGATGTGTCTTGTAGCAGTTCTCGTTTTCATATTTGACGGGAAAAGTGTTCAGTTTATTACAAAAATCATACTCTACATACAGCATCCCAGTTATCTCCATTATTATCTTTAGAATAGATGGTTCATTGATTTTCAAAGTTGATTTTTTGATTTATCTACTGCACCCGGGAATTTCCCTCTTAAGGCTATGAAACTGTATATAGCTATAACCGTCTAGAATAATATAACAACAGAAGAACAAATCCGATGATGTCAGATCCACAAAAACTATATGTGATTATTTCAGTAATATTTTTTTCAGGAAAAATTTAATTATCTGTATGATTAATATCTACTATACAGTGTGTAAAAGCCAAATGGAATAAGAGCAAGATATTCAAAAGTCATTCTGGTGTACGTCTATCAAATGTACTTTATCTTGATGAATTTTAATATAGGTTGAAATCCCATTGAGGTTTGTTATTTATCCAAATCTGTCGACAGGCAGACGTTGTTAGTTAGAAGGGCCCACTGAAATACTTGATATGATGCCTCTAGGTATTTTTGAGGGGATACGTGACATCTGAAGTATCACAATAGCAGTCTATCTCAGAACTCATGAATAGAAGAAGAGGTGCTTGCAACGAACTCACTTCAGAAACATGTCATTATATAGAAAATAAATTTGTAAACAGACTTCATTATTGTCAGGAACGAACAGTATTTATTGGTAGTAGTTGGTTTAAGCCGATTTAGAACCCCCACCACTTTTAACCTTAAAATGACTTCTACATACGTCGCACGATGTAGACTTTAAGTGAGTTTTTTGAGTTTGACCTTGAACGACCTTGAACGAAGTCACACGACACAGGTAAGGTGACTTTAAGGTAGTGTTTTGGGTTTGACCTTGAATGACCTTCATCCACTCCCCATTTTTTCAACACGGTGACTTTGACCTCGAATGAACTCAAGTCAGTTACGCGGCTTTTTTAAAGTTTCGAACCCACACGACACGACGTAGCCAAGGTGACTTTGAGGAATTGTTTTGTGTTTAACCTACATTGATCTTTAACTACATCATACGATGGAGACACGATAACTTTGGAGTAGTGTTTCTTGTATGACTTTAAACAACTTTGATTCACTACCCGTTTCACACGGCTACCTTGAAGTTTCAAGGGTTTTAACTTGAACGAACTTCAACTGCGTAGACAAGGCGGCTTTTAGACTTCTGATCTTCAGCTTGAGCGCTGGATGAATGACCATGAACAGCTGGCTTGTGGTAACCAAGTTTTATGAATGTTTGGAGGATCAACATTTCACATTCAGTTCGAATAATTCAACGTATTCGAATAGATGAGTGAAAGTAGTGTTGCAAAGTGACAGAGAGTATTACGTCACGAGTAAACACAGCAATCCAGGTGAACATATTTTATATTTCCATATCATAATTATACTATATTCGAAAGAGTTCATTTGAATATTCATTGAGATATGGAGCAACAAAAACACATGACAATAAAACGGACAAATTTTTTAAATCACTCAATATTCGATCATTCACTGCATTTTCAAAATTCTTAGATCTATTTATTCCAAAGCATTCCAAAATTTTCAAACCTTTCTCTTTCAAATGTAACATCATAATTATGGTTGAACTCATTTTCCTCTTCCAAAAGATGACTTGCAAATGTGGAAATGTAGGAAACTACCCCTATGTTCTTTTATTCTTTTGGAAAAGGTTTTTCCCGTTTGACCAGTATGAAAATTTTAATTTCTGAAAGAGAAGAAAGGTAACAGATAAAGCTAAGGAGATGTTAGGCATTATTTTACGAAAATCGGATATGTTACGATATGCTTCATGAAATAGCATATTCATTGGTGCGATCAGTCTTCTAGTTGGATGATTTTTAGTAAAAAAGTTAATTGCACGCCTTAACGCTGATCCGTTTGGTTTGAGAACTATGTTATTTTACCAATTAATTTGTTTCTCAATATGGTTATTTTCTAGGTTTTTCAATTATTTTTCCATTCTAACATCCAATAAAGGAAATTGTGGTACCAACCATTCACATTGATTTTTTTTAAATCGGCCTTCAACTAATAAATCCATATTTATGATTTCAGAT